CCCCTCCTTGGGTTTCCAAGGCAGTATCACTATGGAAGTAGATTGCCCAACCTTCCTTCCGAGGAGTGGCTAGTGGGTTTGAACCGCCAGCCTTCTTGTTAGCAGTCAAGTGCCTTAGGCACTATGCTACCAGAGCTCCTGTGCCATATATTAGGGTCCCTAAATTTGCCCCTAGTTTTTCTTTGAGGAACTTTATAGTTTTAGGTTTAACATTTAACTCTTTGAGAATAGTGAGATCACTTCTGAATGTCCATGAAAAAGCTACACACCTCTAGAAGCTCAATTTAGAATTTGAATTTAAATTGCATTTGCTCCCCAGCTGGAAAGAGAAAATTGAACATGTGTGCCTTGTCTGCCTGGTGTAGACACACAGGCTGGAACAAGACTAACTCTAGGCAAACCTTAGGCATTGGAGATTCAAGGTGGAGTATTTATGCCTGAATCACCCTTCTCAAGGCTTCCTCCTGAGGACACTATATATACAAGGAACAATAGTAGAATGGCAAGCAAAGTATCATTTATTAATAATGGCTTGATTTCAGGATAGGCTTGGTAACTTCTTCTCTTTCCATCTTTCTATTGTAGGGTTCTCAAGAAAAAAAGAAAGAAAGAAAAAAGGATTGGAATCTAAGAAGCTAAGGTCTTCTTAGCCTTCTTGGCCTGACCTAATCATCCAAACCAAATCTGTTGCCATGGAGTTAACTCCAACTCATAGGACAGAGTAGAACTACCCCATAAGGTTTCCAAGGTTGTGGTGTAGTGGCTAAGGCACTTGACTGCTAACCAGAAGGCTGGAGGTTCAAACCCACCAGCCATTCCTCAAAAGGAAGATGAGGCAATCTACTTCCATAGTGATACTACCTCAGAAACCCAAAGGGGATCGCTGTGAGTTAGAATTGACTTGATGGCAGTGAGGTTTTTTTTTTTTTTTAATAGAGCAAGGCTGGTATTTGGGGAGAGGATTTGAAATATTCTCCTTTCCAAACATTAGAGAGGAAGTACACTTATTGTTCCACACATCTATTGAGGGGTTGATGTCAAAGCTGGCTCCCTCTTGAGTTGCCATGGTGATGAGAGAGTGAAGAGCAAGTGACAGCAGAAAGAGAAATTCAGTATCACTCTGAGATCAGACACTCCAGGAGGAAGTAACAAGATTTACTTCTCAGCAGAACCGAGCTTGCCAGGGCTTCCATGTCCCGTAGGGATTAGAGAAGGAATCTTTGGTCTCAACTGTTTTTCTGCAGTGCTGGTGCTGTTTCCAGCATTTTAGAATGAGAGGAGACTAGCCTCTGGTACTGACAGTCAATCCTGCATTCTCTACCTCCAGAGTCATACCACACAACATTGAGAGCTTTGAGTAATTATCATACTGCTCACCTCAGTGCCTGCAAACAGGTGCTGTGGTCAGGACTCGTGCCAATAACACAGATCAATGCCTCCCTATCTTCGTACTGATTAGGGTCAAGGGTGCTAAATCGCGCTGGCTGTGAGTACAGGACAGAAGCTAATTGCACAGTCGTGTGTGCAGTTTGGCTGGTGATGATAATGTGTACGGCTTCTCAAGCCTGTCATCTAACATTTTAAATTGTATTCTGGCATGTTTTGGAGATGGTGTCCTGAGCCACTAGTCCTGGCAACATGCTGCCATTTCTTTTAGGCAAATTATTACGGTTTGATTGTTTATTGGGGATACGACATTGGCTTCAGTAGAAGTAGGAAACTGATTTTTGGAGTACAATAATGTAACTTTCAAACAGTAAACTGTGTCTGGGGCTATGATGGCCAGAGCTCCGGACCCTTGATGATTGCAAATGTTTGTGGAAACAGCATTGGACTCAAGCTGTAGAGTCTGGGGTTTCATCTTGACTCCTGCACTGACTTGCTGTGCAGCCTTGAGCAAGTCCCTTTCCTGCTCATCATCTTCAATTTCCTCATTAAAAAATGGAAATATCTCATTGGGTCTTTTCAGAGATTCAAATAAGATTATAGATGTAAAATTGCTCTAAAACATAGAGCCTAGCACCTGTGTCAGTCAACTTTACTTACATTCACAGGCTATTGGAAGACAAAATATACAGTCCAAGACTCTTGAAAATCTCTATGGAGAAAAGCAAGTATCAGCCCATGTCTTGCCCACAGTCCGTAGGAGAGTATTGGAAGTGCCTACCTTCAGGCAAGACAGCAGGGTTGGGGGCTAGGGACCTAACAGGGTTAGAAAGGGAAATCAAGGGGAGTGAAATGATAGCATGATTCAAAATAGAACAATAATTAGAAAAACTGTATATATATAATCACATTTATAATGTGCCAAGTACTCTGCTAAGTCCTTTACATGCATTATCTCATTCAATCCTTACAATAACCCTATGAAATTGGTATTATTGTTATTATCTTTCCTATTTTATAGATGGGAGATCTGGTAGCATAGTGGCTAAGACACTTGCCTGCTAACCAGACGGCTGGCGGTTCAAACCCACCAGCCACTCCTCGGAAGGAAGGTTGGGCAATCCTACTTCCGTAGTGATACTGCCTCGGAAACCCAAGGAGGGGTCGCTATGAGTCGGGGCCGACTCGACGGCACATAACAACAACAACAACAACAACATTTTATAGATGAACTGAGGCTTAGAGAGGTTAACTAACTTTCCCATGGTCACTTATCTAGAAAAGAGCAAAACCAGTATTTGAACCCAGATCTAGCTTGACTCCAGAGTCTGTTCTCATAACCTCCAGACACAATTTAGTGCTTGCCCCTGCTGTAGGTCCAAGCTTAATTCAGAGCTCAGCCACCAGGGGGTGCTGCCCCTATTGCTGTTCCAAAAAAAGAAACCAAACTCACTGCCGTCCAGTGGGATCCGGCCCCTAGGGTTTCTGAGGCAGTATCTCTGCAGAAGTAGATTGCCCAACCTTCCTTCCAGGAGTGGCTGGTGGGTTTGAACCATCCGCTTTCTGGTTAGCAATCAAATGCCTTAAGCACTACGCCACCAGAGCTGTTAATGGACACCAATTGCTAGGAACTTATGAGAAATGGTTGTTCCCTCCTTGAACCTGACTCCAGCTAGATCTTGGGATTTCCTTCAGCCCCTTTAAAGTCACACTTGTTTCCAGGCTACAGGTCTCCCCAGTATATGGCTACAAAAGTACCCTTGCACAACAGTTTGCACACTTTCCTTCCCTGTGGGATGCAGGAGGACAGAGGGAGCTGCCTTCCCTACTCAACTCTCAGAGCTTGGAGGGGTGGGATGAGTAGAAGGGTAGGAGGAGCCTAGTAGTTAAGAGTCAAGACTCTGTAGTTACACTATTTTGGTTCTCCCCTCAGCTTCCTCACTTACTGGCTGTATGACCTTTGACAGCTTAACGGACCATTACTTCACCTCTCTGAGCCCCAGTTTCCTATATGTAAACATGAGAGTCTCACCCTCTACCCTACTTTGCTGAAGCTCAGTTGGGATAAAGCGTGTGCCTGGCACCTCACATGAGAACTCAGCAATTCCTCCCTCTGAGTTTCCCACCCGAACAAAGCACTCCCGGCCAGGGCCCAATCCACTCTGAGGCAGCACATTTCTGAGGAGGGGGAACAGAATTCCCTCATCTGCCTCACCTCTGGTAGTCCCATGCTTATTGCCCAGCAGACAGCCACCAAATGCCACCCCCCGCCTTGGTGACACCTTTCAGCAGTCCTCAGCTCTTCCTGGCCAGGAGATTTTCCTAACTTCTGACTCATTTCCCTTCAGCAAGAACAGAAACCCTTTCTCCCCCACCCTCCCACAGATTTAATCCTTCACCAAAGCCCTGCTGATTTCACCTCCTGAAAGCACAGGGCTCTGAATTTAGACCAGAATCCTGCTTCTGCCACTTACCATTGGTATAACCTTGGGCAAGTGCTGAAATCTCTCAAAGCCTGGCTCAACCATATATTGATAGCCGTATGTTGACAGTGACACTGAGCAGATTCCTTAATCCCTCAAAACAAAAACAAAAACAAAAACAAACTCACTGCCCTTGAGTCAGATCTGACTCGTAGTGACCCCTCCTTGGGTTTCTGAGGCAGTATCACTACAGAAGTAGATTGCCCAACCTTCCTTCCGAGGAGTGGCTAGTGAGTTTGAACC